TTTTTTTTTTCTCTCTTCAATTTCTTCTGTGTACAGGGAGGAACCTTTCTCATGGTGTCTCAGAAACTGTTACCCGAACCCCGCCGTGGACACTTTTTAAATATATATTTTTTAAAGCAAGCATCACGGGACTACAAATATAATTTATTTATTCACGTACGATTAAAAAATAAACTTTCTATCCACTAGCTGACCCATTTTCAGCGTCGGAATAAAAAATAATAATAATAATAATTAAAAAAAAAAGCGAACATATTATACTGCGACACACGGAAGGGACTCCATTCGAGCCTTGTTGTTATTATTGTGAGCTAACTGTCAACCAGAAAAACCACCTGTTTTAAACTCAAACGCCAAGATGTCTTCAGACTTTGAAGCCTACGAGCAGGACTTTGGGACCCTCACAGCAGAAGTAACCAACAAAATTGGCAGAATTCCCAAACTAAGTGGAGGTAAGAGAGTTAAATGCATTGGCGGTGATCGCTGAGCTGGAGCTAACTATCAGATAGCTGGTAACGGTACCAGGGGCAGATTACAGCCCTTGTTGTGGCATTTAAACAGTTTTACACGTTGTTTTTCAGTCATTTGTTGCACTTAAATGGTGAAACAGTGTGTGTACTCTTACGTAAAAGGATGCCTCACGTATCTGCTTTAAAGGCTTTCATGAATGAAGCTAGTGAGAAATAACATCTTATATTCCCCCAGTAGTTAAAGTAATGGACTTTTCTAGACTACTCCCTCTTTTAAAAGCAGTGCTAAGAGGAGAACAGAACCCTTTTGGGGGGCTAAATGTGATTTGAAATGATGGAAATGAATGAAAGGGAAGTGAACTTTCACTGGTGTCGCAGTGATATCCCGTTGTACACCCAACACAGCTTCCTTCCATAGAGATTTGATGAAATGAAATGATGAAAACGTGAAGTTTCTTTTCAGGAATGCACTTTACTGGGAGTTAGGGAGTCAGTGTGACAACTCAGCAGCTGTCTCTGTTTCCTGCACCAAAATGAAACAGCCATGCCATGACATTATCAAACATAAGCGCTGTCATCTTACAGCAAGAGGTCAGGATTTGTGATTCAACACTCGCTTATTAAACATTTTTATGCCAAATGACCCTTTAAAGGACCACTGTGTAGGATTTAGTGGCATCTAATGGTGAAGTTGTAGATTGCAACTAACTGAACACCTCTAACGTCTGTATTTGCCGACCTCAGTGGATTAAAAAAAGGCTTCTTCTAAGGTAACTAAAACACAACAGTTCCTACATTCAGGTGATTATACA